GTGTGAACTACGGGGCCTCATCGCTGTCTGTGTGGACGCTGGGCCGTCTGCTTAAACCCAGTGTGAAACCGCTTCTTTCACCAATTACCCCTCAGATGGAATGTCCCAGCTCGCCAGGCGCTGTAGTTACGGCTGTTGCTTCATTTGTGAAACGTGTAAAGATTCTTTCTCTATACGGCTCTCAAATGGATAAGACGACGGAGATGGCAAATGCACTCACTGCTGGATTCAAGGCTTCGACTTGGGTACGCAGCTTTCATATGGGAAACCCGGTACACGTGGAGATTATTGAGAACCATTCGCCTACGAAGGATATAGACAAATTCATTGATGAGGCAATGAAAAAACACCCTGAATTGATTGCTGTTCTCGGTCCTATGGGAGACAGAACCACACTGAATGCTTTGCCATCGCTGGGGAAACATCACTTGGTAGCATTAGCGCCATTCACAGGATCAAGTCTTGTCAGGGTGTGGAACAGCAGCTTGTACTTTTTCCGCGTTGATCCTTCTGCTGAACTCCTTGCAATAATTCGCTACATCGTGAACCATCTGCGTGTGCGGAGGGTGGGATTTATGTACCTGCAGGGCATGTCATTTGGTGACATGGAATACCAATTGGCGGTTAGGTCGTTTTCGCAGATGGGCTACGAACTAAGTGGGGTGTTTACCGTGATTAGCTCTTTGTCTGGCTCTGCTGATAATGCGATATTCAACGCCGAGTGGGAGAAGTTCGCGGACACTCATCCACAGGCCGTTATTGTGTTTGGATCCCCAGTCAGCGACACCACAAAGTTTATTAAAAAGATGTTGACGGACTCACGCACTTCTGAAGCCTATCTGCTTGGTCCATCAACGGTGCAAGACATTCTTCTGACCGCCTGGCAGGCCGCGATCCGCGGTGGTGTTAAGTTTGTTCCTGGCCAAGTGATCACAACGGGGGCCGATCCGTTGGCAACGAATACCCAATTCGAAGCAATGCGCCGATTTCGTGCTGTAATGCAGGAGTACTTAACCCACAGTGGACAGAAGGAGTTTAAGGATCATAAACGCTTCCTCAACAATGACAACGACGGAGAGTTGATGGTTGCTGGGTGGATTGCCGGTGAGGTGTTTTCACAGGCACTTAGTAACCGTAACGATCTCAAAGACAGAGAGACCTTCCGACGCTCACTTTTTAACCAACGGCGGTACGTCGTTGACGACATTGTGATTGGCGACTTTGGTGGTGAGTGCATCGGCAAAGCTTCATTGCAGGGGTCGATCTGTCAGTGCAACCAGGGTGGGCGGACGGTGTATATGAAGCGTTTTGTCGAGGGATATCGTGCTGAAGTGGTGAAGGACGGATTATTGACATACTCGGCATCGCAGTGCTACGTGACGTCTTTCCAGATGTTAGCACCGCTGAATAGTGTTGCAGTTGCAATAAGCGATATGGCCGTTGCCACCAAGGCTTCTGAGAACTTTCATACAGGGGCTGCGGCTGGACTGAGTGATGGAAGGATTGAAACTGCACACGAATTTAGTATAAAAACGCTGCAGTCACCTGCACTTCATGCAACTAATAAGCTTTCGACCGAGATAGAAACACGAATCACTGCTGCTGTTGTAGGTGTGGTGGACGCATCTATGCTAAGTCACATTAACATTACATACATCGATCCCGTGGAGCTGCGGATGCGGTTAAACAAGTTCGAGAGGCACGTGATTCACCTGTCACCGACGCTGGAGCAGGAGTTCTTTGTGGTTGCGCAGTACCTCGGCAACACGACTGTCGCCAACGCCCACGCTGTGATCCGCAGCGATGGGGCTGCTGCGATGGCGGATGTGTTGCAGCGGTCGCTTGTGACGTTTGGCGGGTCGCTGC